GTGTTGCTCCACCGATCCGCTCACATGCACGGCACCGCCATCATCACTGCTGTACGAGTCGACGATCCGCGCGTTGCCACGAATCTGCAGGTCTTTCGTGACATAAATGGATCCTTTGCCACTGCACCTGGCCAAGGGAGCTAACGACTCCACACCCCGACCCAGCAAATAAGCACACCGGCCTGGCCATGGCGAGCTCGTCTGTGGCAATGGTCACGTTACCGACGACTTTTAGGCAAGGACCACTAAGTGCCGCATGTGCTGCCACCGTGAACTGCAGCTTGCCTTCCTGCCGAACTGCTTATGGCACACTGTGGAAAGCAATGATACTAACTGCTCATGGCTTGCAGCTACACGCATGGCCGTCAAGGCAGACGCTACAAACTCTATACGCGGTCCAGGGTAACATCCGCACCATTTCCATGATTCCGGTTGACGAATAACAAGCTCGCGCTTTCTGCCAACTCAATCCTCAGATGTCGATAACTGCATCAACAAGAAACCCAGTGCACCGAGTTGGAATATCCTGTCCTCTGCATAGTCATAAAGGATCAGCACCGCACTCTTCACATATGGGCCTGTGCAGCTAAGTGGCACCGTCTGACTGCTTCCCCGCAGCGTGCAGCTCCGCGTGAGGTTGATTTGTGTTCTCTTCGACACTTCGTAGACTCCATCGAGGTCCAGGACGCCGTCACAAGTCCCAGGGAACCTGAACTCCAAGCAGCACCTCCCCCAGTTTTTGGGGCAACTCCCTCGGGTCCCGGCTCCAGGGTCTCCTTCTCAATGTAGCGAGTGCGCTCTGCCACCCGGAGGGGCAGCAAAGCGAGCAGAAAGCCTCAGCACCGCTCGCACCACTGCTTCGGGGCGGAACCCGGACAAGGGCAACGAGTAAAGATCAGCCGAGGGACCTAAGACCATAAAGTCATGGATCCACGGGTTCGCAGAAGACGTCTAGCTTGAGCCGTCTGCATGACATGCCGGCCGAACCATCACTATGAAGTTTGTGTCGGGACTTGCCAGAGCACCCCTCACGTGCCGCAAACGCGGGTTTAGTCGCCCCGCATGCGACATGCCAGTAACAGTTTTGGGGCCATTGCCGTCAGAACCGAGCTTTCAGCTACTGGCTTTGTTGGCACTGATCGTGCTAATGTCTGACCAGGCGGATGCAGGGTCCCCTTTTTTCAGGCACACGGCCTTGGCAAGCCGGGCAGGGTGGTTTCCTGGCCCTGACCGCTACTGCCCCTCAGAGCGTGAGCGCATAGGCCACATATTCCTCCTAGGCTGCTGGAAACGGGGAAGAGCCAGACATGTCCCGGGGCCGTAACTGCCTTGTGGGAACTAACTCCAAGCCTGGAGTCCAGTGAGATCGCGCCAGACTGATCCTGCGGGCAAGCTCGGATCACTGCGAGACATGCCAAGACGGCCAGCTGCTACATTCGAAGCTTGAACGAAGCCTTCTGAAATCGGAGTAGTCAGACGAGAGATGAGTGCATCCAATGGATTTTGCATGGCTAGAACAACAACTCGGTGATGCCCTCTCCTTGTCCATGTCCTCAGCTCAGACCCGTCAGTCAAGACCCTCGATGGTAGAACCCCAACCGAAAGAGCATATCTCAGCCCCAAACCCTAGATCTGGAAGCACTGACCCCGAAGTGCCGCCCCTGCAGCAAGGCGACCATCACCAGTCGGCGCAGGTGCGTGGCATCCAGCTCCCCTTTCACCTGCAAACACGTCGTTTGTGAACCGCTCCATGCTTCTATCTGTCTGTCTGTCTATCTACCTACCTACCTACATACCTATCTACCTACCTACTCCCTACCTGCCTGCCTGCCTGGCCTGGCGACCTACCTACCTACTTATCCATCTATGCATCTACCTCTCTATCTATATTCATCTATATCTATCTGTATCTGTCTATATCTACGTATATCTAGCTGCTATTTATATCCATCTATATCAAACTACGTATGTCTGCGTATTAGTGTGCGCCTGCGCATGTATGCAAGCGTATTTTATCCGTGTGTACGCACCCACCCACCCACCCACCCACCCACCCACCGACCGACATAGGGACAGACAGCCCTCTGTCTCTCGTCCATTCCCTTGTGGCTTCAGGCATCTTAAATGCCCCTCTGGCTTTGCTTTTCAAAAGTACGGTCTGTACCGTCAATGTAGACAACGGCAGTCAGCCTTCGCAGGCTGCGTTTCTGAACCCACCCTAAACCCTAAACCCCGTAAGGTGGGTTCCAGCATCCAAGAAGCGCCTGGAGTCTGAGCTCCTGGAAGTCGATCTGGCCATCCTCGCGCGAGACTCCAGCTCCAGGACTTGCTCTTCATGTAAACTCATCTTTTTTAGGGTTTTAGGGCTCTTCATGGTTTTTTTGAGGGCTGCAACTGCTTTAGAGCTTTAGAGCGTGATGTCAGAGGTCGGATAAGTAGAGCATCAGAGGCAGACGGGTCGGGCCCTGACTCGGTCCACGGGATGAGACAGGAAGGCACAGTGTGAGCTAGGAGCACTCAGGAACCAAAGCATGAAGACTCGAGAATCGGGCACGCCCAACTTAATCTCTGTGAAATTCGGGATACTTGGGACAGGGAAGTTGCAAGTCTTCTCTTCATGCACACATCTGCTCCTTGTTGTGATCGAACTCGGCGAAGTCGCGCCTCGGTGCTCCACACCCTACACCCTAAACCCTAAACCCCAAAACCCCTTAAATCCTAAACCCTAAACCCCTAAACCCCTAAACCCCTAAATCCCTAAACCCATAAACCCTAGTTCGGCTTGGTAACAAAGCTGACCGGATCAAGCCACGCCAGCAGCGTGACAGTACAAGGGCGAAAGAAGAGCTGTTGCCAACTACGGTTTAGGGTTTAGGGGTTTAGGGGTTGAGGGGTTTAGGGGTTTAGGGGTTTGGGGCTTAGGGATTAAGGGGTCTTGAGGTTTAGGGTTTAGGGTTGCTAAGCCTCAGAGTGTATGTAGGGAGGAAGGGTGGGGGTCTCCGCGACGATTTGGGATCCTTGCAGCACCTACCCTCTCACACCCGCCTCATAACCATCATCGAAGTCAAACAACATCACAATAATGGCAAGTGCGGCAAACAACATCAACATTAACAAACAGAGCCGAGCCATCTCCGTCAACATCATCATCCGCCACAACGCCTAGGCTGTTTGTGCGGCGCTAGTTGCTTGTAGTCGTCTTCCGTCGCAGCCAGCACGGCCGGCAACCTTGTTGGTACAGAACCGGCCGAATTTGGCGCACAGCGGCCCTCGCACGATGCACAATGATGCTGCCGAAGCGCAAGCACACCAGCAACTTGCGCACCATACGAAAGCCCATGGCAATGCGCAGGCAAACGATCCAATGCACCTCTTGACTAGTTGGCGATCAGGGTTTGATGTGGTAGACACTGTACTGACATGGCATGCGGAATTTCGAAAGTCGAGTGGCAACTACTTTGCAGTCATCGTGCAGCATGTAAAAGGTTCCAGATGTTGATATTTGTCTGCAACTCACAATCGGACTTGAGGCGTGGACGGAGCAGTGCTGGCGTGCCCAGTTGCAGTTGCTTCAAATTCTAAGTTCCAAACCAGCGCAAGCTCTGTCGGACGATCGACGTCATACATGTATACATCTGACATACACGTACATCCACACACACACACACACAACACACACACACGCACACACAGAGGCAAACATATGTGCAATGGCGCCACTGCTATGATCCACAATTTTCCTGACCGCCACCGAAGCGAAACCTGAGCGATCAACGCAAAACGCCAGTGCACTTCTGCAGATCTAGGGTTGCAGGAGGTTGAAAGGCTCTTTGTGATGGTTCAGAGCTCATGATTCGAAGGTTTTCCGCTTTGGGCCCAGAGTCATGGCTACCATAATGATAATCATAAGGATAAGGGTAAAAATCATAATAATAACAATAATAAAATAGTCGTATAATAAATTCAGCAAACAATAATATTGGTATTCTTATTGTTATTGTTACTATCATCATTAATATCCTTCTCACTATCACGATTTAAGCACCCAAGGACCATGACTACCTTCGACAGCCTGAGCCTCCAGCCGAGCTCAACTTTCATGTGGGGAGCTCTGACAGAAACCTCCCTGGCCCGCGAAAAAAACCCAAGTCACCAAACCCAACGACCCTCAAACCCAGAATATACACCGTAGCAGACACTTCATAAATTGAGGCAAGGGCAAGAGTAACCGAGTAACCCTGGCAGCAAACCCTTAAGGCCAAAAGTCTCCCTTCTCATGGCCCTTAGAGAGTACCTCTGGGGCAGGCAAACCCTGGCGATTGCCGCACAAAGGGGTTCCCCTGAACCCGAGACGATGCCTCCCGCAAGCGGGCGCATACAGACTTTATTAACACCGACCTGGGGCCGACTCCTGGGGAAAAAGCCATCCATGGCCCCGAAAGCCCCATGAAGCTAAGGAGACCTAGGACATGGGCCCTATGCCCCAAACCTGAATTACAAAACCCCTGAGCTCCGGCCGAAACCCAAAAGAGCCATCCCCTAAAAGCCATGACCAACTTCAGGCCCGAGCTCGCAAACGATCGGAAGGTGATCGCTGCCATGAATACCTAGGGTTTAGGGTTCGAGGTCTCGGTGCTTCGGGGCTTAGGCAGGACATGAGGCAAAGGGCGTTTAGGGATTCAGGGTTTTCCTGGGAGGCCAAGGGCGTGAAGATTGCGACTTACAGGCGTTTCGGGCTTGGTTAGAAAGTCTGGTGTTCAGGCGTTCAGGGCGCATAATCAAACGTGAAAGATTTAGAAATTTGGACGATTGAGGCTTGCAAGGATGGAATTCGAGGTTTCCTCTTGCAATATTTTGACAACAAGGGTACAATGCTTGAGCAATGCAGCGGAAACAGAACCAAGTATTCGAACATTTCAGCATCTTGCCATCATAGCAACAAAGCCCGATCATTCCATAGCGGATAGTCCATTAATACTTTCATGCGTGGCGTCTTGCTCTACAAAAGTGAAAGTTGCGCATACGACGAACACAGTCCTTTGGCGCCAGATGGGACAAGTAGGTCAGTAGGTCAACCATGGGCCGAAAATCCGAAATGCCAAGGGCCTGTAGCCCAACAATACAGGGGCCTTAGCATTACCGGATATTACCGCGATGGCAAAGCTTGAATTGCAAGCCGATTTGACACGCCCAGCAGCTCAATCGTGTGTAACGTCGTGGAAACATAATGCTATAAAATCCAACAAGTTCCTGATCCAGGCATGGCGTTATGTTATGAAAACAACCCTTGCCCATGTTCGAACCGGAATCAGATCGGTGGGGAGATGTCAACAAGCACGACCATGATAAAAGGAGTGTGAACTTGCAAATGCCTTCCTTCGTTCTCGGCTAGGCTTGAGCTTGATCTTGCAAGTATCACGACCATGGCGTCCTCCGCAAGGTGGCAGCAAAGGAAGTGAGACGCCCCAACGCACCAGGACGTCAAAAACTCGAAACCCTGGAAACACTAAAACCCTAAACTCCCTACCACCCCAAAGGGCCTTACGAAGCCCCGCACAGGCCCTTTAAGACTACGAGCCTGCCCTTTGCATCCAGCGCGCGATTCGGGATGCCGAGCTGTAGCTCGCCGTTGACACGCGGGGGCCGCCACCGATAGTCTCGGCGGTGCTCCTCGGTCTAGGGTTTTAGGGTTTTAGGGTTTTAGGGTTTTAGGGTTTTAGGGTTTAGGGTTTAGGGTTTAGGTTTAGGGTTTAGGGTTTTGGGTTTAGGCTTGGGTTTATGAGGTCTTATACAAACTGATAATGCAACTCCTTAAGAGATTTGCGGCTGAAACCT